ATTTTCAAACAAAATATCACATAGGTCCACAGTCCAGTGATACACACTTGCATAGCTTTTTAAAATCATATCACAGCATGTTAATGGCTTTTAATATCCAAATTCAGAGGTTATTATATTTTCTATGGCAAATATTCCAAATTTCCAGTTTCTTCTATATTAAGTGAATAAATAATTTCAATATGAGTTCTTATATAATCTAACTGCCAATTCCACTCCTTCTCAAATCTATGTTTTAATCAATTTGTTCCATGAGTATCACTGTGGTAACAGTTCCCTTGCCTTAAATCCATGCTCTAGTTTACATTTTTTCCTGCTCTCATTTTACTACTTTTAAAACTTTTACAGATTTTCATAGGAAACTTTCATTCTCTTGATGTTATTTACTATATGACGTCCATCACCCTTGGACAGAAACATCAAGCCAGTCAATCATAAAGGATGTCAACCCTGAATATTCATTGAAGAGACAGATGCTGACGCTGAAGCACCAATACTTTGGCCACCTGATGTGAAGAGCCAACTCAGTGGAAAAGACCCTAATACTGGGAAAGATTGAGGGCAAGAGGAGAAGGGGGCAACAGTGGATGAGATGGTTGGATGGCACCAGTGACTCAATGGACATGAGTTTGAGCAAACTTAGGAAGATAGTAGACAGGGAAATCTGGTGTGCTGCAGTTCTTAGGGTCACAGAGTCAGACATGACTTAGCAACTGAACAACAACAATCTCTCTAGACCACATTAATTCTTTACTTTCCAACACTTTCATACTATCTTATTCATCACATTGACACATTGGATATAGTTAATTGTCTACAGGGCATTGTCCCTGATAGACCATGAACTCGCTGAGAACAAGAACTGCATCTTGTTCATTTTTATATCTCCCAATCTAGCAATGCTTCATCATAACAAAGCCCACCAACAAACAGGAAGGACCACTTACAAAAAAAAAAATAACTAGGCATTTAGTCACTAATTTCAAAGTTCATGTCATAATACAATGACATTTGCAAGGCAATTGATTAGTTCCTTACACACAAGGAATGAAAGTTAGAACATGTAAGTGCAAAAGCAGTGCCATTTCCTATTAAAGCATATATCATTTAAAAAAGAATCAGGGAATAATATGACATTACCAGGACTCATGTAAATAAAGCTACAGAACTTCATTTAGGGACCTAAATAAGTGGGGATAAATGTTTTGGTATTGGAAATCTCACATTTGAAAAGATGCTAATTCTTTAAAAATTAACTTATAAATCCAATGCACATTCAGTCATAACTACAGCAGGATTTTTAATGGCTTTGTCAAACTGATTTTGAGATCTATACTTAAGAGAAAATATGTAAGATTTTGAACAAGAACAAGAGAAAATGTCGCCAACCACAACACACTATAAAATGAAGCTAATCAGAGCAACGTGGTGCTAGTACCACAAAGAACGGAGACCAGTTGAACAGAACTGAATCAATTCCCTAAAATAAAAATATTAGCATTAAGATAAAGACATCATTTCAAATCTATGAATAAGAAAGGTCTTGTAAACAAACAGGATTAAATAATTGGTTATAAATGTATAACGTTAAAGAAAACTATGCTATACATAAAAACTCATTAGAGAAGAAGGTGTGGAGAAAATAGATGTAAAAGCAAAATAGCTTACAAATAAAAAAATGAAATATTTTCAAAATGTTCATGTAGCAAAGGTCTCCTATGGAAATCAGAACCAGAGAAACAGAAAGCTACAAATTGAATACCATGTAAATTAAAAGCCATTGAGATGATGAAATACATCACAAAGTTAAAAAAAAAAGACATGATATTGAGAGAAAATACTGTAAAATCATCTTGTACCAAAAGGTTTAAAACCTCAAAACATCCAAAATATAGAGGAAAAGAGTAGGAAAAATGCCTCACCCATCTTCTGTTAGACTTTTCTTTTTCTTCTAACCGGGTAACAATTCATAAAAGAAAACTAATACACATGGAAGATGTATAGGAAAAGATGCACAAGTTATTTTAACTAGTTCTGTAACAACTTCAAAAAAACCTTATTTTTGTTTCCATACTGTCAAAAATGTAAAAGATATAAACTGTTTACTATCATGTAGGGTATGAGGACATTGGGCCCCCATGGTTGATGGAGGGTTCTACTGGGAATCCCTTTGGAATACAACTTGCAATATTTATCAAAAATGTTACACTCTTTAAACCAAAAATTCCATTTTCAAGAATGAATCATACCAAAATACATATATGTACAACAAAAGACTGTTCAAGCATGTTCAGTGCAGTCTTGATTATAATAATGAAAATTTAGAAAAAATGGAATAAAGCTCCTCAGACTTATTTTTATAAATGAGTCAGAGAACATTTATGCTCATGTAAAAAATTAAACTGCATAGAAATTGTTTAAAAAAAGGGCCAGATTTATATACATCAAATATTAATAATTTTTTCTGAGGATAAAAGCTATGGGAGGTCACAGAAGGAGAAAAACAAAAGTTTCACATTGTTTTCTCTCTTGTTTGAATGAGTACAACTAGAATGCATTCTTTCAGTTTTTATATATTTAAAAAAACAACCATAAAAAAATACCTAGAATATCTGTACTTAATTGCAAAAAAAATAGTGGGCCTGAAAGTTTATGGTCTGAGTAATCAATAATTAATCAGCAATTCATTCAACAAATATATATTGGTATAATCCAGTACCAAAGATTAAGTTAGGTAGTAGTCATACAAGGATGAGACAAGCCCTACCCTTACGATCACTCAAAAATCATAGGGACCCAGAAAAGTAGCTGAATTATAAGGTGACAACTGCTAATGCACAGATACACAGATGTCACATTCTTGCTGGGGAGGACAGGCAGGTTTCAGGTAAGGTGGTGCAAGTGAAAAAAAATTTTTTAAATGAATAGTAACATTCCCAGCAGACAAGGGGAGAGGAGAAGAATTTCATGTAATGGGCAAAGTCATCCTGACCTGAGGTCACAGGCTCTGCTGCGCTACTGTCTTGAGTTGAATGTTATCTCCCATCCCTTACTTAAAACCTGTGCACCCTTAGCTAAGAGACTTAGCCCCTCTCAACCTCCATGTCTATAGCATGCTATAACATGGCTGTAGCAATCACACCCACTCTATGGGTTCACCAAGAAGACTGAACAAAATCATTCATAAAAGCCTCAGTACCGTATTTAGAACATGTATATTGATAAAGATTTGCTACCCTTCTGTGTGTTACCTATAAAGAAACCAAAAGGATTGTAATATGTTCAGGAAACTGAAAGAAGGCTGAAATAGGTGGGTGGCAAAACTTCGAAACATTTACTATCATACACTAAAACACAAAGAACTCCAAGTAACTGCAGAGTGTTTCACGTAAATGCAGAATAAATCTAACTTGGGGTTTATTTACTTCCATGCTAATAGGAGACCTATTTCATGATCAATAGAACAAATTTTAATATATATTCAATGAGATTTGCATATTTCCCTGGTAAATCTGTATAAATGATAATGAAATTGTTTACTTGCAAACATTTAAGGCTTCCAAAATTGTTATTTAAAGCAATGTTCAACAAGGAATTTAATTTTTGAAAAAAATTCATCTACCAAAATTAAAATATTTCATTTAAAAATAGCTTCTATTATTTAATACAAAACTCCTTTCATTTCAGTTTCCATCTGCCTCTCTCTTTAGGACGTCACTATTTATTTGCTTTCTCACCATCTTTCAAACCCATAAGAATTCACATGAACTATTGTTTCAAATCCCCTTCCCAATCTTCCTGTATTACCTGGCTCTTATATTACTGCATATACGCAAAGCCCTGGTCCTGTCAATTACTAGCTGTGTGACTTTAGATAAGTTACTTGACCTCTCTGAGCCTCTGTTTCCTCACCTATAAAATGGGAATAATACTTATTCCCATTATATATACTTATAAGGTTGTAAGAATTATACAAATTATCAGTGTCTGGAATCTTTCAAATGTTTAATTAACTGGTAATGCTAGTTTAATTAACCTTCCAGTTCCTTAATCTTTCCTGTGGAACCCTCAACATTTCTCTCTTTTTCCTGCTTCTCTGTCAGGGCAACGTATACCCTCGTGCTGGCTTTCTGCACTCACCAAACTCCTCTGTCAGAATAATCTTCATGTCATATCTAATACTTTCTTGAAAGTCTTCATATCTTACTTAATCTTTATCCCCATATGTGACTATCCTCCAACACTATCATTTCTAATTTTTTGTCCAATCTTTTCATATTATTAAAATTAAAACTATATTTGGACTTGAAGCAATACAAAATATTAAAAGAACTGAGTTTATTTTACTATGTAGTCTAAAAATTGAGTAAAATAGCTTGGGTTTATGATCAACATTATTTTAAAGGAATAGCTATCTAATGACTATCCAAAGGAATATCTGATTTTTAACATTATAAATATAACTGTGAAAATAGATTATTAGAAACAAATATTACTGTAACTAGTACTAAAACTTCTGCTACAAGATTTATATATATTTTGTTCAGAACAGCTTTACCCAGTAGAATATTTATTTCTGTCTTGCAGCACAAGCTTTTCATAATGAATCACATTCAAAAATACATTAAAAAAAGATATACTAGTATACGTCAGGAAAAAAAATTGATGATGCTTGAAGGTACTTTCCATGAAAAATTAAATATGGCACAATGGTCATTTTGTAGACTTCATTAATGAAATTGGAAAGAGATTATTAATCTTGAGTGTTAAATTGAACCTGTGGCGAAAATTGATCAAGCTTCTCCGGGCTCAGAAATACCCAACAGCTACTATTGATCAAGAGTTTGGGACACTGATTATAATTTATATCTAAACACAAAGGATGTGAGATAGAAATAATTTTTAAAAGATTTCAGATTCAAAACTTATATACTATTAAGCTTAACAGAGGAAGTCTTACGAATACTAGTTTTATTGTGGAGATCCACAGGAAAACATACCTGGCTAGGCTGAAGGCATCGTCGATCAAACCTGCTCGGTTGCTGACAGAGAGAAGCTATGAGGCCAACCAAAAAAGCAAAAATACAAAAATGGAGTTATTTAGGATTAGAATGGCAGATGTTCATATATCTAAACAGATATTTGATGAGTAAAGTCCAGTTTACCTCATGATTCCTGATTAATTGATCAATTAATAATCTCCAGTTCCTTAAATCATAGTTGACTCTAAAATAGCCAGTTTGATTGATGTTCCCCAGCAACCAGCTTCCTTTGTCCAAAGTTATCCTATGGTGTTCTGAAAACAGCATTTTAGGGGTAAGAGAGATTTTCAATTTTAAGGGTTAAAACAGGAGGAAGTATGCTTTCTTAATATCAAATGTCACAGTAACAACAATTAAAAGAGGACACCATTCTAAATACCTAATTGAAGTCTACTTTTTACTAATTACACAATTAATCACTATGTTAGAATTTGCTAGAAAACCTTTAGTGTCTTATTCATTAGTACTCAATTAACTGTTTTCTTATAATTAACATTTTTATTCCTGATAAAGCCCTATTATGTATATATAATTATCTTTCTCAAGATAAATAATATAACCAAGAAATCTACTACTGCATTCATGTGGCTTCCAGTTAGATTGTATATGTATCTGTGGTTGGAATAAAAAAAGGTTTCAGGTGCATAATCTACTAATTTTATTCAGGAAGAAAGTAATTACAACAATAGGGCTCATTTATTTGAAAGTCACTGTTATTTCTTACCCTCTTCCTTGTGCTTTTTAAATGTGCTAATAAATAACAGATTTTCCAGCATCATCAATCATGTTGGGAAAAAGAACCTCATTTAAAGCTCTAATATTTCTACATATAATTAGAACAAAGATAATAAATTTTGCTTATTAGAATCACTTTGGAAAATGGTAACTTGATTGCATTTACTGGTTAATTCAATTAAAGGAAGCCAGTAAAAGTAGTCTTATAACTTAACATATTTAACCCCTTCAAATATGATACAGAGAACTCATTCACTTTTAATGGCAGCCTCTATTGACTTCCTAAAACCATAGTTTACAATTCTAATCACTTTGCTGCTGATGCCGTCAGGACTCATGCTTCATAGAAGTAGCATAATGTATGAAGTTATTTAAAACTTGTAGTATATATATTGGAAGGACTGATGTTGAAGCTGAAACTCCAATACTTTGGCCACCTGATGCCAAGAGCTGACTCATTGGAAAAGACCCTGATGCTGGGAAAGATTGAGGGCAGGAGGAGAAGGGGATGACAGAGGATGAGATGGTTGGATGGCATCACCAACTCAATGGACATGGGTTTGGGTGGACTCTGGGAGTTGGTGATGGACAGGGAGGCCTGGCGTGCTGCGGTTCATGGGGTCGCAAAGAGTCGGACACGACTGAGTGACTACAACTGAACTCAACTGAACTGAACTATATATATATATATATATATATATATATATATATATAATTTTTAAAAAAGAGTACAAAACCTGTATTGTTGTAACTAGTCTCCTATATAAAAATATTTGAACTTAGGCCATTGATTGTTTTTGGCTCTCAGTTTCCTTACCTATAACCTAAAGGCCAAGTAATGCCTTTAAAGACCCTTCCAATTGTATGATTCAATGGCAAAGGGGGGTAATTTATTAGTTTGAGATTTTACACAGCTTAACCTGTGGTACTTAGAAAAATAAATCTGTCAGATATTACTCTAAAATATTTATAACTTTCCAAGTTTCTAATGCTTTGTATCTGCATATTTTTCAAAAATGTAATATTTACTCACACAATTTCTGTGAGGCTGTAGAATGTGACCCAATTTTACAGATGTAAAAATAAAAACAAATAATCTAAAAGACAGCATATAAAATTAGTTCTCATAAAGAGAGATTTTAGTTAATCATGTCTGAATTCACTGAAGAAAAACTGATTAAAGTATTGATGATATTGTTTTTCTTGAGTAACCTTAACTCTTTAGGAATGATAAGATTTTTTTTTATAACAAAACATATAACAAAACATTTAAACATTTATAACAAAACATTTAAAAATTGTTATTGAATTCACATGGGTTAAGAACAAGTTTAATCATTTTCATCTAGCAAGTGATTATTCTTTGAAGAAATTACAATGTTAAAGCATTGGGTTTAATAAACACATGATAAAACATTTTACAATTTTGAAATGGCCATGGATTTCTATATTCAATATGTTTTTTAAAGTTATTTCCTCCTGACATTTTATATAGATGGTATAACTTACCTTCATATAATGCACTTATTTCTAGTTTTTTGAGCTTTTGAATTCAACAACTTATAGGTAGAACAGAGACCAATTAAAACAGGAAAACAATCCCTACACTTGCTATGTAATCTGAGGAGAAAAAGAAAGGCAAGCATCTATTATTTTTAAATATTCTATTATTAAATTAATAACTAAAACTTGAAGGCTATTACTGTTCATGGATATTTTTATACCTTTGCTATAAATGAAATCTTTGGAGAAATGATTCCCCAAAATACTTTGTAATAGATTTTTAAATATCTTTTTCATTCTACTTAATTATATCTCTAAAATGTTCTTCAGATTAACTAATGGCAAGCAGTGAATTTTAAAGAGATCTTTTCCAATAGTCTAATGAGTGTGTGATGAGTACCATAGTAAAAAGTATGGATGTTAGATATCAGGGGTTAGTAGCAACAATTAAAATTTATATTTAAAATATATCCAAAATAGCACAATATTCAGACTACATCAAGGCACAGAATAGTTGGCATTTTATAATGTTTTATATTTTTATACTTTATTCTTCCTTTTGGAATGAAAAAGAAAGCAGATCAGATCTTCTACTCAATAGTGGCTGGTTACAGAACAATGAGAATTGAAAACAAACAAAAAAGTGAACCAGGATGCCAAGGGGAACAAAGTGAAACAAATTCACATATAATAACACACCCTCGTTTTCTCATTGAACTCTTGTGAAACTCAAATTATATCATGCTCTGTAGAGATTACAGAGAACCATGCATGTGCACTCTATGGCCATGAAACTGCAGATCTGCAAAGTAACCTACCAAAGTATTAAAATCTTGTGTGTGCATGTGTGTCACAAATAAACTTAGAAAAGAAAATCAAGTTCCTAAGACATTTTTAGCAAGTTATTTCTCAAGCCTTAATTTTCTCATTTGCAAACTAGAGGTTAAAAAAAAAATACCTTAAAGGCTCATGAGACTCCTATGAGGCAATATTTAAGGGAAGCATTATGCTATTTTTAATATTTACTTCTGATTTTCAGAATCACTTTCCCTTTTAATTTGAATTTTTTCTTTCCTAACGTTTGTCATTAAGTGTATTTCCTTCCACTATACATTAGTTAATAGTCAATATGAGGGCTACTATGTATAAATGTTTGCTTTCTCAGCATTTTCATAGTAAAAACAAGAGAAAAATCTTTTTACCTACTTTCAGTAATTCAAAAATTTGCTTTAAAACTATGTTTAACCTAAAATGATATGTGCCTTAGCTTGGAATTAATTAGATAACCACCCAACACAACAAAAAATTGAAGTGTCAAGAACATATAATGATACAAATAAAACTCACATTTTATATTATTTACATTGTTCATTAATGACTTGACCTTAGTATCATGTGACATCAAATTGATATTACTGATGACAAAAAATTATAAAAGCATTGATCTGTTATAATTAAAAAGTGGAATGTTTAACATATGTTGGTAAGAATTGATCAGAATATGTTCTTACCATTATCTATGAAGAAACATTTTTCATTAATATTGGTTAACTATATTTTGAAGATAAAAGGTGATCTAAAAGGATATAAATTTAACCTTCTTCCCTAATCCTTGACTGGTTTCTGCTTTTTATTTGTCATCGGAATGGAGTTCAAGACAGAACCAAATACATTTAGAACGAGAATAAACAGGGAAGCTAGAAAGGTTGCCTTTGTTTTATTTTCCATTTGTGAAATTCTTCCAGATGTATGTATTCATAAAGTTTTCAAGAAACATTTACGTGGTATGGAAATTCCAAACAAAAACCTCAACTTTCAACTGAGACTACGTTTTATCCATCAGAAGACTGTGCTATGATTTAACGGAATATGACACATTGCACTCCATAGGTTGCACACTACACAATTATGGAGTGAGGGGTTTGCAAGTAATAACATCATTCAATCACGTCCAAACTCTTTGCAACCCCATGGGCTGCAGCCTGCCAGGCTCCTTTGTCTACGGAATTCTGCAGGCAAGAATAATGGAGTGGGCAGCCATTTCCTTCCTCACCCAGGGATTGAGCCAGGGTCTCCTGCATTGCAGACAGATTCTTTACCCTCTGAGCCACTGGGGAAGCCTAAGTAATATCACAGCCCATGTAAATATCATCTCCTAGAGTTACGCATTGCACAAAACTATGCAGCTGTGTATAACAATCAAATGTATGACCACAGAGGACTTTTTAGGCAAGCACGTGGCTTGAAATATCATGTTATTATTATTTCTGATTAACAATAAAAGACTATAAGTAAAAACAATCTCTCAAATATCAGTACAACAACCCGTAGTCATTGGTCAAGAAAAGCCATGATGGTAATAATTTAAAAGGGAGTATGCATGCATGTGTGCTCGGTCACTTCAGTAGTGTCCAATTCTTTGTGACCTTATGGACCACAGCCCCTCCAGGCTCCTCTGTCCATGGATTCTCCAGGCAAGAGCACTGGAGTGGGTTGCCATGCCCTCCTCCAGGGGATCTTCCCCACCCAGGGATCAAACCCCAGGTCTCCTGCAATGCAGGTGTGATTCCTTACCACTGAGTCACCAAGGAAGCCCGGAATGGAGTAAAATCTGCAAAAAATTGAATAACTATCCTACACCTGAAACTGACAGAATATTGTAAATCAACCAAACTTCAATAAAAATAAGAGTCATGATACTATTGTAGATAATCTGTGGACATCATGGGTAACACTATAGAAATAACTAGGGAGTTAGAGGAAATGGACCCTGAGAAAAGAGTTGAAGAAGAATCAGACTTGCCCTGAACCCTGCACTGTCTAAAAGTGAAAGCTGGGGCTGATCCTGACACTGGATCAGTATCTAATTTCCCATTTCTAGTCTACCTTCTACGTTTTTACTTTATTTCTGAAAACTCTTCTATTTTGTGTCCCTAGCAATCCTATGGACCTAAGACTTCATTCTAATAGCTGAATTATTACAATAGGAGTTCACTGTTTTCACTCATCATTTCATAATAAATTATGTAGATAAATAAAACTACATGAAGGTAAAAGAGAAGTACAAAGAAAATACAGTAAGTGTGAACTCAGAACATGGTATAAAAACTAATTCAAAGAAATGAAAAGAATATAGTAAGCAATTTAAAAGGAGATACACCAATACATTTTAAAATGAGCATTTCAATGCATCATTGCATTATATATGAATGTTTTATACATAATGTATATAAATGAAAGCACATATCTTCATAATATGTGTTAAAATACAATAACATGAACATTTGAATAAAAATTCAACTGGAAAAACAAGAGTTTATCTTTCTAGTAAGCAGATTAGATTCTGCTGTAAAACCTTTTTCTTGTATTTATATGTGTGTGTATTTTGAGCATTTACATCTCCCTAATAATAACTAGACTGAGGGGAAGAAACAGTATTTTGTTATTTATTTATACTTCACCTTATTTCAAGAAAAGATTTGTTTAAAATGATGCTTATAAAATAGTAAGAAAAGATAAATTAGCAGAATATGAGAAAACAGTAAGAAAAACAAAATGTGGAATACTTGACCATTTAAATCTAAATGAGATGTTACATAAAAACGATAATTGCTTTTTTCAATTCAATGGAAAACAGAAATTTTAAAAGAGACCTGGTTCACACTCTAGCATGAAGGATTTAGACTGATTTCAAGAAATAGCTTTCTGATAGTGAAATGAAATAGGTCACTATCTTATTTGAAGATATTTAGAAACAGAATAGAATCTCATCTTTCTCTGCTCCTTGAGCATTAACCCTACCTAAAAGGATGGTTTGATGAGCTATCAAGGCCTTTCATATCTGGCTCTATAGTTATCTAATTTTACTGCCAGACCCATTCTATATAAAGGGCCAGTCTAATAAAGAGAAGATAGCTGGAAAATGGAATTAAATATGTGGCCAGTGTTTCAGAGCTTGACATATTGCTCTATTGGGAACTATGATTATAAGTTAATTACATTTGGGATTACAAAATAATGCAGTTTAAAACAGTTAAAACTAGTACTACAAGTATTTTGTTTTTAATTTTCTCTTTATAATCAAAGACACAAATTTAATAATTATATCAATAGACTAAAATTAGACTATGTAGAAATACTTAATTTTATAGAGATTATTCTTCTATATTCTCTTTCTAATTTGTCTTTACTCACATGTTTATAACAGCTGAAACCAGAAGTTAAGTTGCTAAACATTTATTTGAGACCAAGTAGTTCCTCAGAGGAAAATATATGTTTTACCTGATTTGTTAGACACCCAAATAATTGCTTCTGAAGACACATGGCTTCTATTTCCTACCACAATAGTTAATGGAATCTGCCACAGGTAACTGCAAAATAAAAGACAAACTTTAGGAATTAAAATGGCTGTAACAAATAAACAGTATTTGCTATACATCTTCCATGTGATTTTTTTTTTATTATTCTCTTTAGGAAAATTGAAAAGATTCCCCAGTCATAAACATAAGGAGTAAGTAAAAATGAATTTACTCTTTCAACTCACTAAGCAAACTTGAACTCTAAGAGTTTTAATTTCAATACAAAAGGGGACTACCAGCAAACAATTTATCTTGGTGGGGAAAAAAGATTTGCATTTTACATGAAGAATAAAAAGTAGCTAAAATCCATGTTATCTGCGCCACATAATATATTGATTAAAGTCTTAAAATAACTTCATTCTACTTGATTCTATATTAGATTAATGCACATTTCAGTGGTTTTATGCATTTACATTTCAACATTCTCCTCATTTACTTGTCAAACTATTCTTAGAAAAAACTTGTCATTTTTTAAAGAAAAGTTAATACAGCACACCTAAAGTTACACAGCAAAGTAAGGACGAAAAGAAAAATTAATTAGATACCCCTGAAATCCAGATCAATACAAAGAATGCTATAAGACACACCTAATGCCCTGTTTTCTAAAGTGGATTTTCCAAATTGATATGTGAAATCACCCACCAACGTGCAGGAATCAGTCATGAGTCTCAGCTAGTAAAGAGAAGCATTTTGTAGGCTATGACTTTTGATAGGACAAAAATTGAGGCCTAAAGTGCATGAAGTAGTATCAATTTAACCTCAAATGAGCATCCAGAGGTAAGCTGGATAGTCTTATAACAAAATCCGGGACTACATTTTACTCCCCCTATAATACAGCCAGATTATGTTGACCAATCACTGTATCATTGGCAAGAGGGGTAGACAACAATATGCAATATGTGAAAAATAGTTCTGACTTGAAAACTATAAGAAGATATGCTGCATGATCTCAGTAACTGTGCGAGTTAATGGAGAATTTTTCAGAGAACATGTCTGGAGCTATACACGTAAAAATAGAATGCATATGCCTTTTAATAGGGGAGGACATCTCCAAATCTGTCATGCTGAATTTGATTATTAGTTTATCATTTCATGTTTCCTAGTCACAATAAACAGAATTTAGTAATAGCACAAAACACCAAACAGAATACTGGGAGAAATTCCTAGTTTGATACCAACTACTATCTCCAACGAAAGTTATATGTTTAAGATTCTAAATTTTACAAGTATATGCTATACTTGTTCAGAGAAACATTTTTGTGTCCCCACTAAGGGAAGACATGATGCTATACTATAATGGACTCCAGACAGGTCAGGAAATAAACAACCTATAGCAGCAAAATAGTATTGCATTTAGAATACACATTGGTGAACACAACCCATGTACACTCTTTAACAAATATCCTCAAACTCATGAAACTAAAAATATGCAGAAATATTTTAAAATGGGTTTACTGTGAGGAAGATATACAGAGAACTGAGATAGAAACCTAGATATAGACAGATATAGCTGTTCTCTAAAAATAATGATGTAAATCATTAGATATAGCTGTTCTCTAAAAGTATGAAATCATTTTGATTAATTAAAATTATTAATTAAGAGACAATACCTAATTCTGCATCTGATTCTCAAGCTATGAACTTACTTTTGTGTATCTAAGATCTTTCAAAAGCCTGGAAATGAAAGGTATTCCATAAATTGTTGTTGAAATGGATTGAATGAGATTGAATTGAAGTAAAATAAAAGGAACCATATCAGTCTATAATAGACAGAGATTAACTTTATGAAATAGATTTTTTTAGTATATGTCTTCTGTATTGAGTTGGGGCAACTAAATTTTGATGTCAAATAAGTATTAGTTAAAGGGCAAAAGATATATTGAAGATGTTTCAAACTTTTCAAGGATAAATGTATCTTTCTGTAGCATGATCAAAAATATTTATGAAAATTATTTGCTCCTAATGTAATTATACTTCTAATTTTACACTTATTTAAACTTCATTCTTCTAAGTAATGAAATTATATATAACAATAAAAATTGAGGTTTTGATATCTGAGTTTTCACAAAAGTCTCGAAAGCGCAGAAAAAGAGATTACTATCAATACCTGCGTGTTGTTTACAGACAATTCCACACACAAGAAACTTTCCTAAATGACAACACTGCACTGCATAGCAATATTCAGATGCAAAAAATTTAAAAAAGGTATCAGGACACAACCATCAGGGCATTTTGTAAAACTTTTAAAATAGCCTCTATACTTTTCTTAATATTTTTGGCCTCTATTCTATATGCCTATGTGTCTGTGTGTGAGTGTGTATATATATGCATGTATGTACATGTATTGATAGACACATAAACAAAATCTATACATTGTCACAAAGACAAAATAAAAATTACAAATCACTAAGCACATTTTGCTATACTATAAACACTATGGGGCTTCCCTGGTGGCTCAGAGGTTAAAGCATCTTCCTGCAAGGCGGAAGACGTCAGTTTGATCCCTGGGTCTGCAAGATGCCCTGGAGAAGGAAATGGCAACCCTACAAGTTAGTTTTTGTAACTTTCCAAGCAACACATATTTGAACTTTCCACCAATTTCATTTTAAGAGCAAAGAATGATAATTATGTTCCCTTGCAATTACAACTTAAAAGGCTAGGGACCCTCTATATCGTGGGCGAAAAGCTCTATGCGGTGTGCTACAAAAAAAAAAGAAAGAAAAAAAATCCAAGACTGTAGTGAGTTATATTTTAAAAGAAACTAGAAAAAAGAATGTGTGAAAGTAGTTTGTACACCTGCCCCTTAAATTTAACTTGAATGTTCTGTCATATCATTTTAAGAAGAAAAGCAACAAAAACAATACATTTCAACAGACTCTCCAGATAATGTTTTTCTTTAATAGTCCCTGAGAATACCTCTCTTCACATAGGTCACATTTTTATAATAAAGCAATGTTTATTCTAATGATTATGGTAAGGTAGAAAAGAATTGTTGCTTATTTTAGCTTGAGCGGAAAAAAATTTTTTTTAATTGTATCAGTATTAGTGACGCATTCAAGCAGATGTCATGAAAAGTGGTTCAGAGGCTGCTGTCATTAGACCCAAAACAAAAGGAGACAAATATAGTTCCCTGTAGCACAAGACTCTAAGAAGCTCCATACATATGCGGGACATTACTGAATCTTTATATTAATTTATAAAAGAAAGCTACACAAAATTACAACTATCCAAATATCAAAATGCTAGCAAATATGTTACTTTCACATATCAACTAACTTTATGTAATTATTATATAAAAATCTTTCCTTTCTCTGCTGTAACATAGCTACCTCATATGAAAAATAAAATGACTATTGTTGTTCAGTTGCTCAGTCGTGTCCGGCTCTTTGCGACCCCATGGACTGCCGCACACCAGGCCTCCCTGTCCATCACCATCTCCCGGAGCTTGCTCAAACTCATATCCATTGAAGTGGTGACGCCATCCAACCATCTCATCCTCTGTCTTCCCCTTCTGCTCTTGCCTTCAGTCTTTCCCAGCATCAGGGCTTTTCTAATGAGTCAGCTCTTCGCATCAGTTGCCAAAGTATTGGAGCTTCAGCTTCAGCGTCAGTCCTTACAATGAGTATTCAGGACTGATTTCCTTTAGGATGGACTGGTTTGATCTCCTTGTAGTCCAAGGGACTCTCAAGAGTCTTTTCCAATACTACAGTTGAAAAGCATCAATCTTTCAGCGCTCAGCCTTCTTTATGGTCCAGCTCTCACATCCCTACATCACTACTGGAAAACCATATCTTTGACTATATTGACCTTTGCTGGCAAACTAATGTCTCTGCCTTTTAATGACTGCATACATTTAAAATGTTCTAGGCATGTTATAGTATTCTCGTGTCCTCTACAAAACTGAAGACAAAGAATTGATTATGCTGCCCTAGAAAATATCCTCAATGGGGTTTCTAGCATAAATGAGCTTTATGTTTTACTGCACTATTTGCATTATACAATAAAGATCTAGGAAGTTTACAAAGAGCAGATAGAATTGACCACAACATTATAGTGAATTAAATGATCAATTATATAAAAGTGAATACTAAAATTTCAACTCCAAACTCTTATTATTTCAAAATAGATAAAAAATAAATGTTGAGGCTGATGGGATACCATGCATTATCTCACTCAATGTTCTCTATGCCAAGTTCTCAGCATTCAAAACATCCATGTGATTTTATAACTTCAGCGAAAGCAAAACTCTGTAGATGCTATATATGCCTATACATCCTGGGAGAAAGTCTTACTTTAGAGAATCAGACTCATGGCTGGTACATCTGGAGCATGTTATAGGATGACAGAATATTTTTGTTCCAAATTTGTTCTATCGTCTGCATGTCCTTTATGTTTTCCTGCATCAGTGATGCTTGTGTCAGCTTGATCATTTTCAAAGGCATGGCCTGAATCTCTCTGACTTTGTCACAGTGAAGTACTTTTTATGTACTTCCTGGCAGGCCTAGGATGAGGCCTAAGCAGGTTTCACCTGGGGCCAGACGGTGGTTGACTGGAAGCACTATTTGACAACTGTGAGTGATTCAGCCTGGGTAAAGAAGTGTTGACAGGATCAGACCCTGACAATGTGGCAGGATAGTACCTTGTATTCCACAGATCCAAACAGTTGGATTGCAAGGGCAGATTATTGAAGGACAGTGTATCTACTAACCAGGAAATTTACAACACTTTCTTAAGTGGCTTCCCAATTTAGCCATCAGAAAACATGCATGACTTTCTCAGTCACTTCTACGTGGGCTCTGTCTCGGAGCTACCCTACTTAGGATGATTTCCATTCCTCTTAGATACAACAAAGAAAGCTAATTCATGCTTTGCATAACCTAGATATTGGTATATGATCAAATCAGAATTCTTACCATTCCAAATGGGAGACAGAGTGACCAGTCTACAGTCCACACCTCATTTAACTTATTAATTTAACTTCCATCTCTCCCTGTCCCTGATTCTCAACTTCTTATCAAGATACTTTAGCAAAAATAAAATGCAATGATTTAAGTTATACTATCTTTCCTTGGCTCAGCTTTAATAAAAGGCAAAACAGTGGGAAAACATGAAATAGAAAAGAAACACTATATGCTGAATTTTCAGTAATGAAATAAGAATTTCAAATGAAAGTTAAAATAACAACAAATCAAATTCTATGTATGTTGCATTTAGTGATTTTTAAACACTAAAAGTTAAGGAAAGGAACATATTTTGATACTATGTGACTTTGATACCTGGACTAAATGGATCTAGTTTGAGTTCTTTTGTTCAAACATTTATCTTGACTTTACATTTCTGTTGGTTTTAACAGGTCTTTCTGGATTGTTAGTTTCTATTGGCTGTTTTATAAATTTATTTTCTCAATACTACTCAATTCACTTCAAAGTATTTTAACTTTCTTAAATTTAATTCAATAAACATTTATAGGGAAAAGTAAAAAATCACGCATTATTTTATTTTTCCCTCATCCTGGGAAAGACTGAAGGCAAAAGGAGAAGAGGGGTAACAGAGGCTGAAATGGTTAGATAGCATCACCTACTCAATGGATATGAGTTTGAGCCGACTTCGGGAGATAGTGAAGGACAGGGAAGCCTAGTGTGCTGCAGTCCATAGGCTCACAGAGTTGGACACGACTTACTGACTGAACAACACTTTTTAAAATGACCGTAATAATTTAAATTCTGTCCTTTTAAATGAAATAACTTTGGTATGCTGTCACATTGATACTTAAAATATCTGGAAATGGAAGTATAAAAAGGGCTCAAAATGAAAACATCATATGCAAATAAAGAAATAAAAACTATATTTCACATACATTTCATAATTCTTTATCAATTCTTTTTAAAATGTTAAAGTGTAAAAACAAAAGTGCAAAAAAAAGGATTTTTTTTCATGTAGAAAAAGAATTGTACCTGTTATTTTGAGGTTCATGTGCTTTAGTTTTAGCATTGATATCATAAATAAAATGCTGCTGGGTAATTATTATTCTATTTTCAGTTGTTGTATTTCCCAAGATGGTGATAACGGGATAACCCATCTGGAGAGTCCACTGATCCATTACTTCTTGTATATTTACGTATTTTCCATTCCTTTTTAAAGCCTTTATAATCAAAATTGTATAAATTAATTTTATAAACATGAATTATAAACATAATTAACATTAAACCATTTTCATGTTTACCTTTATGACTTATTTCAGGATGAAAACACTTCAAATCAGTGAAACTAATATAATGTGTTAGTAAAATTAATCTTCTTGTCTTAGCCTAAGCTTCATGTGTATATATAATAGAAATGAAAGCTTTATCAACATTAACATTTTTAACCTAATGGAGGATAAAACATATTTTATTGTTAAAGCAAGTACTTGAAGCATCATTAAGCATATCCAGTGTGTCTAGTATTAAATGCTTTTATTCACTTATAGAGAAAAAATTCTTTACCATCAATATTTCACTCAAACATGAATATCTGACACCATATTAAAATTATATTTCAGAAGTATTATCATATTTAAAATAGGCAAAGTATCTTTACAGTTCATAGCTGAATTAATTTTTAAACCTCATCATCCTTATAATACATCAAATATAAAACAAGAAAACACATCAAGAAAGGGGAAATATAAAAAGTGAAAGCAAACCGTCAGTGTCAATAAAAGTTATGAATGTTTTATAAACTCAGTTCAAATATTCAAGAAGAGGTTTCAGTTTTCAATCCTCCTGTACTTTACCTCTGATAGTGTATTCCAGAGATCATTCCTGGCTGCATTGCCATACTTATGAATAGTTAAGTAATCCTACAAAGAATATAAAATTATAATTAAAATTCAAAGGCTAAGCAATTTCCAGTAAACACATTTATTTCTCAGTTCGATTAATTATTTCCATTTGTTGGAACTATATTAACACAAATATAAAGACATGCCAAAAAAAGAAAAGAATCTCATTTTAAAATATTCCAAAGCAATTGAACTATAGCATATTTTTAATTAAATCATCAAACAGTACTAATCTCTTAAAATTTATTTTCATATCTGTCATCACTTCTTATGGATTTCCAGGGTCAAAGATCTTCCTCAAATTTAGCAAGTTAACCTCAGGCAATTTTGAAGAAACTACTTACGCAGTGAAATATTTAGGGAAAACTTTCTCATCAGGATTTCATGCTGAAGTGTTGAAAACATATTTTGCCTTATGGGAAAAGAAAAAAAAACCAAAAACCTGACTTATATGTACAAATGTGAAGAGGGATTGTTTTGCCAAAAAGGTGATGACTGTCTCCATGACCTGTCCTGTTAACTGGTCTCTCTGCAAAGGACAGGCTGCCTTGTACAAAATGATACATGCTTATTTTCATAAGCTTGAAACACATTAACATTTAATTAAAAAAATCAATCCTGAGTTTATATAATATTTTAAAGCTTAGGGCTCCATATTTTCCATTTTCAATCATTAGTAGTTAACTGTACATATTTCTGTTTCATGTCTGTTCCTTTCTAAGAAGCATGTCACTGTGAATATGTTATTTGTGACTCCTTGACATTATTTTTTTCTGAATCCAAAATGGAAAGATCAATATAGAACACTGTTTTATGTTATAAAACAGTATCACTTCATTCATCTAAAATTTCATGATCTCCAGAACACGTAGGTAGTAGGCAAAATTCTAATTTACATCATAGTACTAAAACTGAAAAAAAAATGCTGACTCCTTTCAGTACTTTATGTAGAGTGGAATACTTTAGGGATAATTAAAGTTGGGGAAGAAAATTTTCTGAAATACAAATTGTAGCACCTGTGACAAATTCAGCTTTCTTGGCAACTCACAGCACAGCAAATGGCAATCCCTGCTTAATCACACTCCTAGAGATGCAATGCCTAACACTCAGCAATCACAAATACATCGTCACCATCAAGTGTTAGGAATAACTTTACTGAAAAATTACAAGTGAATGACCAATCTGAATCCTAATTTTGTCTTTGAACCTGCCATATGAAGCATTTCCATTTAGATCCCAGGGACCAGGATTTAAATCAGTTATTTCAGATTTAGTTTTCAGAATTATTTTTTTTATTCATTTAGCATTTAAATGAATAAACTGGGGAAAAACAGGAACTTTGAAACATAAATTCAAATTATATTTTCCTTTTAGCTGAAACAGTAAAGAAAATGCCTGCAATGCAGAAGACCGGGGTTCAATCCCTGGGTTGGGAAGATCCTCTGGAAAAGGGAATGGCAATCCATTCCAATATTCTTGCATGGAAAATCTTATAGACAGAGAAGCCTAGAGGTCTACAGTTCATGGGGTTGCAAAGAGTTGGACACGACTGAGTAACTAATACTAACACCAATGAAAAAGCATTAAAAGTAGAACTATTTATCACTGGGTTCTGCTTATGGAAAGTGCTGCTAGAATAATCCAAAAGAGAGAACAAAGGAATACTACACAGACCTTGAAAGGTCCAATAGATAACTATAGGCTTCTCTTCACGGGCAGACTGTAACAATCCAATGGTTCATGAGAGGACTTGTCCAGGACCCAATGCTGATCATCAACTGGAGCTCTTGGTTCACTGGTCAGTTTAGAATAAAGTTCAAATTTACATTTCAAGCAAGTCGAAATGGCAATTATCCAAGTTAAGGAAGGCGTTCCAACTTGCCTGCCTCAATATTGAGGGCCGATCTCATGCCTACTTGGACTGCCAGCAGACCCATTCAGTTTTGGGGTGTTTCTAGAATCCTATGTATGTCATCTCTTTTCTCTACAATAAAATCCAAATGTTTTCCTCAGTTATTTTAGCCTTCCTCTTGCACAAATATAGTCATATTTTGAATTGAAATTTTGCTTTGTCTTTGTAGAATTACAGAAAACCTTAAAGAACAGTGTGTCTTTTTTGATGGTAAATCATTTATTTCTTTGTTCATTCCACAAAATGTATGGCACACTCTGCATGTGTCAGGCGGTGTACCAGGCGCTGGGGCAACAGTGGTGGAAAAGGTTTACTGAGAACAACTGCAAATACTGAGATAATTTGTGGAGGAAGCTTTCTGTGCCTGAAAGTGGACAAGTCTTGATACAATAGCCACTTGACAAGATGAATGAAACATTTGATATGAGCTTGAACAAGAAGACTTTAAGCTCTTTTCAAAACTACAAGTCAATGAATATGGAGATGGCTAGAGTTATGAACCAGAAATGAAAACTTTTATTTATATTTATGTGTATGAAAGTCAATCAATTTGACATTATAATACAAAGCAGAAAAATGATTTAATATTAGCTCTATAAAGAGAATTGTGTGTTCTCAATACAACGTATTTCAGGAACAGTAGAGCTGTTGAAAAGAATAAAACAAAGATGACCATCAAAAAAAAAAAAAGATGACCACCTATTCTAAAGGAATGTAACTAACAATATAAACTGATTAAAAGTTAAAAGCATGTTAAGCACAAGTACAGCCTGATACATAAAGTGCAGGGATGGAAGTCTGACTGACTTTGTTCAAATCCATCCTCCAACGTTCCCTAGTTAAATGATCTTTGGCAAGTCACTTAAGTTCTTTGTGACTATCTTCATACCCATAAAAATAAGGATAATAAAAGTAACTGCTACATAGAAGTTTTCTGAGGATTAAATGATTTAATACCGATACAATCTTTAAAAGTGAAGAATGCCTAATACAGTAATGTCTATTCAATAGACAGTAGCTGCTATAATCATTTTAACCATTTCTGGCTACAGGTGTGAAAACAGAGTAACAAAAACAAGAGCATCATTAACAGTAATAAAGAACATAGTACATGAGAACAATAATATTTGTTTCCCTTTTAGCTGTATAAGTTGCTTTATATTTTCTCATTAAACCCCATGACAACATTTATGAGCTGGGTGTTAGTATCATCACTCAATAAGTCAAAACACTAGAACTCAGAGACTCCAGCCCATGTCCAAGTCCTATACCTGTCCACACAACTGCTGACCCAAATCCAAGATCTATGGGATGACACACAGGTGACTAACAGTTATGTTCAAAGCTGAACTCATCATCCTCCCCTGTATCAGCCCCTTTGGGAAGCACCTCCCCGGGAATAACCCTTCTACACACTGCAACCAGAAGTCAAAGAAGATGCCTCTCTTCCCCTTCCCACCACATCCAGGTAATGATAAAACATTCGCCCAGTACTCCCTCTTCCCTTCGCCTGTTTGACAACCACTCTACAGTATTTTGTCCAAATATGCCGACTACTGCTAGTATTTCTGCTTTGTCCCTCTAAACCAATCAGTATCACTCCGCCATGCATAAATACTTTTCATCAAATATATACATGAATCCCTGCTGTATTCAGAATATCACTCAAACACACTTCAGTGTAACTTAAAGGTGTCTCTCATGGTCTGGTCTCTCTGTACTGCTCCAATCCCACCCATTATTTTGTGGCCTCCCTGCCTCAACTTAGCCATTTTCAGTTTTCTTGAAGCAGGTGCCTACTGACAACTTTCTCCCTTGTCTAGTTCCCTACCCATGCGGTTGTCTACATACTCTTTTCCCCTTTGCCCATTCGAATTCAATTCAATCTCCAGGACTCAAACTCACTTTTGTTTCCTCCGGAATCCTTTCTTGTGCATTCCCACTCTCTTCCTAATTCTGAGTTAAGTACCCATTATATTCTCACGTTTCAACATATAGGAGCAGTGATCACACTGCATCATAACTGCTTGTTAGTTAGTCTGGCTGCCCACTTAGTCTGTTAACTCCATGACAGTGAGGATCCCATGATTACCGTTTACCACTATTCAGCCAGCACCTATGTGTCCAGCCTGCTATCAGCAGATGCTCAATATATTTGCGAGATTTCTGACTTTTCTTATGCAGTACACCTTTCTGCTGACAGCCGACAATGCAGAGAGAGAGATTTCTTATACCTAAAACATTCCCCCCAAACACCATCTTTAAACACTTATAGAGGATTTTATTATTTCAGTGCTTATATGTCAGATATATAGCTTGCATTGATACATACAGTTGGCTGTGATGTCATTAAGAGTGTATACTATATTGGGTATGAGACCATTTTTTGTTTTACTTTCTTTGCTAACAAGTAACACAGTTCATAACATGTTATGTATAAAAGCCAGTGGGACTAATAAAGACAAGGGGAAAAGTAAAAAGTGCGCTGAAAAGTAAAGTGTTATTATCTTTTAAGATTTACATGGAAATAATTATGGAATACTTACTCTCCTATTAATAGGCCCTTTAGCATGCTGAAACAGAGGATCAAACATATATATGGTCTATTCCTTATGACATGGAGGGAGAGTTTGACAAAATTCAAAGACGTTTAGCTGCAAGTAACAAAAAATCCACCCTGGAATGACTTTTTTTTTTTTAATAACAAGATTTATTTTTTCTTACTATAAGAAGATAAGATAGTGCTGCAGCCCTTTTCCAATGGAATTCTTTTGGCTCTGCATTTACCTAAGTTGTGGCTTCATCTTCAGGTTTGGGGCTAGATGGCTGAAGCAATCCCAGTCATCATATTCAGATGGAACACTGCATGGAGGAAAATAATGACTCTCTTCCTAGGGATCTCTCTTTAAAAATTAGGAAAACTCTCTAGACTTCCCTGGTGGAACAGTGGCTAAGATTCTAAGCTCTGAATGCAAGGGGCCAGAGGTTCAATTCCTGGTCAGGGAACTAGATCCCACATGTTGCAACCAAGACCCAGTGCACCCAAATAAATAAATAAACAAAAACAAATAAATGTTTTTTAAAAAATCAGGAAAACTCTCCCTCA